CATTATTAATTCGAGGAGTGATTTCATGGTGCAAATAACACGAGATAAATTATCTATAATTGATGTACATCGTAAATGTAGAAACTTTTTTCGCGTATGTCCGCGTTGAGTAACATTGAAACGTGTCATAGAAAAACGATCGCGAACACACGATTGCGTGTATAAAGCGAATGATAAAATCGCTTTTCTCGAGCAGCGAAGCAGACGAAGAGCCCATTTCGCGAGATAATCCGGTTTCGTGCTCTAAAAAATATAATATCGAGGTCAGCTTGACGCGACATCGGGATCCGAAACCTTTGTTCTTTCTATGCGTGTTGAAAATTGCAATCGTACGCGCGCACGTGTATGCGTGTGTGTGTGTTCGCTTCGTGTTGCGTTCGTTCCCTGTATGTCAGAACAATTATATAAACGAGTATCTCTCATACGTATATTTAATTGCGAGACATAACCACGGCGTCCGGCCATGTATAGAGTGTCTCGGAAGTTACGTACTTTCTCTTCTTTTGTCGAAGTGTGACTTCTTTCAAGAAATGCGCGCCTGCCGATACGTTCTGTACATTTGATCACCAACTTTTCCCAGTTTAATTCAATTAAAAAAACTCATTTTAGATGATATATAATTTGCAGCAAAATTCGAGACAGACTTTTATTTAATTTTATGTTTCGCATAATGTTTAAATTATTTAAAAAGAAAATTATATGTGTGTAAAATTATTAATAATTGTATATAATTAAAATTCTATAAGTAAATTAAATGGGTGTTTTTAAACGGATAACAAAATCCTAATCTAATCCAAAATTTTTTAAAAATTTAATATTCCAAAACAGGCTAAACTTGAATAGAATTTGAATTCAACTTCTACAAAAGAATTATCTCGAGATATTTATAAAAAAAAATATTCAAGAAGATAAAACCCTAATCTAACCTCAAATTTTTAGAAAATTTAATATTCTAAAACAGGCTAACCTTGAATAGAATTTGAATTCAACTTCTAAAAAAGAATTATCTCTAAGTATTCATAAAAAAATGTTCAAGAAGATCTTGAAAAAAGGTGACGTTCAATCAAAGTCAAAAGCAATTTCACTCATTAATCGAGACTCGCGTAAAGCGACTTTATAACCACCCCGTATATACAAAGTAGATTCGCGCGCTGACGTTTGCTTATTCCCAGGAAATACCGGCTGTAAAAACCGCGGTTTCCCGCGTCGACGGTCTGTCATATCCGCGAACAAGTACCTTCGCGTATCTGGCGTCTTCTCATAGGCTGCGGCGCGCCGGTGCGTCTCCTCCTCGCGTAGGTGTGCACCGGCACTATCAGCCTCGGCCTCGGAATGAGGAAGCCGCCCTGAGCACTGCCGGAGGACGGCTGGTTCACCTCGGAGCACTCGCTGTCGGTGGTGCCAGTGCTGCTGGATCCCCTGGAACGAGCGTCCTCGTTCCTCGTCGAGGACGGTTCCTCCAGTTTGCTCTCGAGCTGCGACACCACGTCGACGTAGGGTCGCCCGACATAGGGTGACTCGTCCTCCTGCTGCTTGGCAGGAACCTTGATGCCGCTTTCGGCGCCGTTGCTGGTCCAGTTGACCCCGCACTCGCGCCAGCTGGCCTCGTAAAGCAATTCCATGGCTCGGCCGCGGGTCGCGTCCGGGTCCAGGAGGAGTTCCGGGTCCTCCAGGACCGCCCGACCTGGATAACTTCGTACCTTCATGACTTGGAGTTCGCGTCTGCTCCAGCCAGAGACAGAAGCTGGGAAACGGAGCCCGCTCTCTATGAACTTTCGCCGGCGATTTTTCTCGAACTACTCGACGCGCGCAAAGGCCAAAGGCCCGAGAACATTGCTCGACGACAAGGTAATTCTCGTCTGGCAAAATGAATCCGATAACGATTCTCAGATGCGTTCAGGGAAGCGCGACAGGTGGGCGCAGCAGGTAGGCGCGACAGGTGGGTGCATTCTTGACAATTACGTTTTTCCGCTCTACGTTCTTAAATGTCGCGCTCGAAAAGCTCAAGACGGAGCGGTGTCAGGCGATGAAAATAAATTCCAGAGATAATATCTCGAGTCCCTGACATTCGGAGGCGACAAAGTCGCGAACAACCGAAAGACATCACGACCGCGGTTGGCGCTGGTCCAGGAAAAATTCACTTATTTTCGAACTTGCGTACTCCTTAGTCCGGGTTTACGGGACCAACAATTGCGAGAAGACTAAGAAAGAAGTTGGACCAACACCAGGCGACCCCGTCAGCTCAGCGATCGCTCATTCGCAACATCCGGCGCCGACGAACAACGGATCGCTGCGGGACAGATCGAGCGGGAAACCGGGCCATCTCCGGCTGTCGATCTTCTGTCACAGTCCCAGTTCGACGAGGACACCTCGCGGTCCTTGCACCTCGGTTCCCGTTCTCAATATCCTCGATATCCTCGCGCACCGTGAGAAATTCCGACATCTGTCAGGACGTCGCCTCGAAGCGAGACTGCCCAGATCCCGGCGACTAGGACCCCTTCTCCTCGCGATCGATCACATTCACAGTCACACGTGGCGTTTCTTTTCAAAGCGACAAGCGGTATCCTGTCAAAGGAGGACACCGCAACACGAGCGGCGTCGCGTTGCGCCTGACGCTCACTGACAGTATTCGCGACTGGTGAAAAGCATGCTCATGTGAGCGGTAAGAGAGAGAGACAGAAGGAGAAAGAAAAAGAGAAAAAGAGAGAGAGAGAGAGAGAGAGAGAGAGAGAGAGAGATTCCCTTCCCTCGACAATTCGCGGGAATCCCCACCATGGACGCTGCGCTCGTGAGAGAAAGGACAGGGGTTCTCATTTCGTCGATCTCACTCGCCCCCGCGATCGCTCCCACGATGTAATAAAAGCGCAGCGCAGTTTTATGACCGCCAAGATCCGGGAGGATTCGAAATTAGAGGACGGTCCTGTACCCACTTCATTAGCTACGTGTTAATTTGACACCACGATTTTTCACGCGTTGTTCATTTCTTCAGGACTTTCTTTATTTTCATACAATTTTTAGAATAATCGGAAAAGTGATGATTTTTATACTATTTAAATAATTCGTCGTAAAATAATTCGTTTTAAACAGGATTTATTTAAATTTTGAGACTAACCTTGCAACACTTTCGAAACTTTCTCTTTTGTATTTATGTAAAAAAAACTTACAACAATCATTTGTTATGAGTTATTGAGTATAGATGAGTCATTGTAGATAAAAATATAACACCTTAAACAAAAAAAATATAACACCTTAAAAAAAAGTACGTAGATAAAAATATAACACCTTAAACAAAAAAAAAATTAAAAAAAAATAGTAGAATAAATTTAAAAAAATAGATATAAGAAAAATTTAAGAGAAAGGAAACAGAATTCCATTATATTAAATACAAGATTTGAATAATTTTTCTAAGATAGATATGTAAAAATAATATTTATTTTTACATGTAAAGATTTATGTTTACACATGTAGATATGTAGAAATTTAATTTTACACATCTACACATGTAAACATAATATTTAGACTTATGTTTACACGTGTAAATATGTAAATATTTATTTTTATGTGTACGCGAAAAAATGTCCATTATCTTTGATTGCTTATAAATTTTAATTCTGAGCTTAAACATTTTTTATTATAAGCAAATTTTAATTCTAGAGATTTAAATATCTATTCGCGTCTAAACTTAAACAACATTACGATAATATACCGTATATACGGAGTGTACGAGTCGAGTGCGCTCGTCGTCGATTACGTGACTGCAACGACACGGATGAGTGATAACACTAATAATCGGATCAGTTGGGAAAGAAAGAGAGGAAAGCGACGTATTTTTCTGTGAAAGTAAGATACGGCACGTCAGTCATTACGAAATCGCATTGGTGCTTTGTTCGACGGAAATCGAATTCCGGGAGAAAGAGAATTATATACCAATGTTCATATAATCGTTTTTACATAAATCCGACATTCGCGTTGATACCGCCCATGGTTTCTATCAATGAAAATTAATAAATATCGAATTAATGAATAAACACAATTATTTCGATGTATCTATTTTTTTCTCCTTAAAATTTGATTTCCAGCAAAATCAATTTCCACTATCGGCTGTGTAATCAAAATGCATGTAGCAAATCAGTTCTTAATTTTAACTGGAATTATATACTTAGTTACTACAATTTTTGTATTAGTTACTTGTAATTTTTTCTGTCTAGAAACTGTTCAGGAGTTTTCCAAAAGAAATCCTACAACGCAGTTATTTTTTTCAGAAGAAAAGATTATTTTTAAAAAATGCGAGTCTCTTAAATTAACATAATCTTCAACAATAAATAATTGATTAAACAGTTTTAATGTGTAAACTTGAAGTCAACGATGAGAGTATATTTAATTTGTGTGAATTGTCTCCTTTTTATTCTACAACGTATAATCAAGAAATTTTATGATATCACTGTTGACAGTTTAAGTGCACGAGATTAATTTTTTTTAAATATATATTTAAGAAATTTAAGAAATGTCTCGGTGGAAAAATCCAAAAATCCACTATTTATAATTTTTTTTATTAAGGACAAATACATCACACGCAGCTCTAATAGATAAACAAGAACGAATGACGTACTAGAATTAAATTGGATTGGGAAGGCACAGAAGTGTGAAATATTGATTTTAAAATAGCGCAGCTAATGTATTACTGTTTTTCACCCTCAATCTTTCATCCACTGGCAATTGAAGTTGTCAACGTCAGAAATAATACCGGAAATATTCTTTCAACGCAGACATATCCCAATATATCCGTTTCTACTTCACTTTCTCGTGGATCATTGTCATTTTATGGACAAATTAGTGAAATTTAATGAAATTTTTTAAATGAATTTTATATTATTTTTTTATGAAATTTTATGACCCATTATAATAATCTACTCACATATCTATTTTACGTTGTAAAATTTTTAATATTGTTCCATCCAAGCTATTCTATTTCATAAAGATGTGTGATTGTATTCACTTACCCTCCATGACAAAGACAGTAGAACCGACAGCGCCTTCTTGAATAATTGTCAAGCCAGCCGGAAACATAACAGGATACATACAATCGACGATCTCTCGGATTTGCGTGAGTTCTAAATTTTTCATAAAGTCGTTGTCCAGAATGGCAGTCTTGATTAGTTCGCGAGACCTTGAAACAAAAGCAGACACATCATTAAATTTTACTCTTTTATATCAAAAGGAGTAAATAATTCTTGCACAAAAAAGTGAAAAAGGAATAATATTTTTTCATAGTTAATTGCAAGTTATATTCGTGGATGCAATTGTAAAAAAATGATATTCATCAAGTGCGAAATATGTATAATGAACTTCTTAAATGTTTAAAGCATACAAGGAAAGTTAAAAGTAATATAAATTTTGAATCATATTTTCTATATAATTACGTGCACAAATAACTGTCAATTGGCATACAATATTAAAAATCTTAATAAATCAAAGAATAAAAAATTAAAAATCTTATAGCTGTAGATTTTCAACAAATCTGGAATTTTTAAAATAAAAAGATTTCATTTAGAATTATATAATAATATAATAAAGAATAAAATATATCATAATTATACAATTATCTGATAGAGAAAATCTCTGTATTATAGCATGCTATAAAATTAATATGCCTCCTTAAATAAGTTTTGTTTACAGTTATAAAATCATTAATGCGTAATTATTATCTTCAGTGAAAGGCGTACTCTACCATTATCAACTACATCGATTATGTAATGCAAATTTCAATTATATATCGCATGTTATATTACTTGAATCGTACAAGTCAAATCACAAGTTAATTTAGTGTAATAATCATCCATTAGTAATAAATAAAGATATCTATTTGAAATAACAAAAATATAAAATAGCTTTCAGACCAAAGTCTATTTTATAAATTTATTTTGTATAATTTTATAATTATTTATAAATTACATATATGAATTTTAATTCTGCATTAATATAAATATATATATTTATGCGATAAATATTTTCTGTAAGCAATAATTATTTTTAATATATATTTTTAAATATATTTTTAATATATTTTTTTAATATTAAGAAAAGAATATATTTTTTCTCTCTTAAATACATTAATAAGCGAGGATAAAATTTCGAAGCAAATAAAAAAAGAGATGTCACGCGACACATTCGATCCGAGGGCACCGGTCTACCTTTTCGATTTGGTGAACTTCATCACCGGCTTGGCCGTGTCATTTCTGAGAGGTTCGGCCGATATGGCCTGCCGCTTCAGCCTCGGATTAGAATTGATGGCGTTGGATGCCAAGCTCAGGTCGACAATCTGCCGGAACTTATCGATCTCGTTTTGCAGGTAACGGATCGTGGCATCGCGCTCCTCGAGCGCCTTCTCGAGCATCTCGACGGTCTCGTCGCGACGTCGCAACGCCTCCGTACGCTCGTACAACAATCGTTTCAGGTCACGTATCGAATCCATTCTCTTTTCCCTCCTCTTTTCCCTCTTTCTCTTTCTCTTTCTCTCGTGAAATTCGAACGACACTCCTTCCTTGTCCTTCAATATCGCGCGCAAGCCATACACCGCGAAAATATCACTCCTTCATCTTCCAGCGAAGGTTCTACCAAGGGAAATGTGCAAGAGCAAAGATGGAAATATTCACATATGTCTATCGTATCTAATTCTCGGGCCCCCCAGCCCCCCATTATTTGAACTTAAGATGACAGTGTGATAATATTTATATGAATGATCTAATCTTGGTCGTCAATCTCGAAGCTGATATAGTATTTTTTAGGATTTCGATATAATTAATCAATAGAACTTTGACTATTTTTCAAATATGTTTTCTATATAGGTTCTATTCTCGGTTCCAAAGCAAGATTTATCTACGATTAAATATAAAAAAAAGCAATTAACTCTGAAGACATATCAAGTCCAATTTTTTATTTCATTTTTTATTTTATTTTACTTCATTTAGAATTTATTCGAGTCATAGTATTAATTGAATATTTCTCGGCAGAATTTTCTCGAGAAAAAATGTTAGATTAAAAAAGACTTTAAACAAAAAAACTTTAATTCGAAGAAAATTTAGAAAATTTCTAAACATTAAACATTTAGTAAAATTTAGACAGTTTTAAATCCTAATAGTTAAGATTGAGTTCCATAAATAAAAAAAATCATAAAAAATTCCAGTTTTTTTGTCTCGGACGATTTATTTAATGGAATAAGCAACAAAATATTTTTGCTTTATTTAATAAATTAATTAATAAATCATACTAATCACTACAGAGTTTAAAAAAATGAAATCAATATAATACTAAATTCTTTTTAAATTTAAATTAACGTGTGAATTTTTAAAACAAAAACTTTGGAGATATCTTACTAAATTTTACATTAATTTATAATTTAATAAAAAATATAATAATAATAAAATTAAAAATCTTTGCCAATATATAATATTTTGAAGAAAGGTGGGACTTTGCCAACCCTGTCAATAATAATTCTAAGGAAAGTGGGAGCAAAATTCGAGTTTCTCATCAACAGTCGAAGACGATTCCAAAAGCTAGCCAGATATATTTATTTCTTCAATGTAATAAGCCAAAGTTAGAAGCATCGATTATGTAAGAAGTTGGAAACGAATACGCGTGTTCTTAAAAAAACAAAAAGTATAGTTTAGGAATTTTTTTTTTGACAGAATAAGGGTGCATTGTTCGGAATAAGATTTGGCATTTATAAATGCTTGAAAACTTGAAACAGGTGAAGCTTTCATGCAATTTGACAATAAAATTGCGATTGCAGCAAGACTCTAACGTGAGATTATTAGCAGACTAAAAACATTCACATCTTGGATAATCGTTCGTTTAATGATTCGCTGTCAAGAGTAGCTATATTTAACTACGTGTTTGCAATCATATTGCAATCGAAATACGTGAAGAAAATAATCATTTGCCTTCGGCGCTTTCCGCTTTAGCAGTTCCTCAAGTTCAATATTTCTTTTCGCATAGTTCACATATTTGTTGTATCAAAAAAAATAAAAAAAATATATATAATCTCGTTTTTTATTATACAGATTATTATACAGACAATGCATTTTTTATTATAAAGATTAGTATATAGATAATGCGTTTTTTATTATACAGATTATTATATAGATAATGCAAGAAAAAATGCAAATAAAATGATTCAAGAAAGCTGAATTGGAAATGTACAAATTGATTTATAGATCAATAAAAAAGGCATTTGAGAATTATTTCTTATATATTTAAATTGAATTATTATTTCTTATATATTTAAATTGAATTGAAAAATTAATTAGAAAAAAATATTAAACTTAATTAGGATGAATATAACAATAAGAGCGAATATTTACTCTCCTCAATCTGTTCCAATCAAAGCAATCTATATTACTGACATTCAAAAGCGACGAGTGCATTAATTCACTTTGAATTGTTCCTTTTTCTGTCCCTAAATCATTACCAAAAATTTCACACAAGCCAGACTAAATGATCGAAACGTGCGTTAATATTACTAGAGATATTAGATACAACTTGGTAGCTCTTGATTTATCAAAGACATGTGTCTCATCGCACACAGAATCTCCGTCTCTTCCAGACTTTTTATTGAACGTTGCTCAATTTGGCGCAGACTCCCAGCTTCGTTCAATCTGTTCTAATCAAGCGATCTACAGCATCGAGATCAGTATCAACTCACTAGTGTGTTTCGCGTGACCGCTTGTTACATCAACCGAATCGAGAAGTAAATGTATCGCAAGAAAATCGTACGATATTGAACCAACCGAGGGCTTTTGCAAAGAATCTGTTCCAGACGACCAAGCTTCACGTTCGCACTTTATTTCATTGCATCGATTGCATACGATGTTATTACGCGGAGACGCTTTTATTGCATCATCGATGAAGAAAAAGATGGATTCATCGAGCGAAGAGAGAATTTAGATTAACTCGTTCGTGTGAAGGATCATTTCCTTTCGCAGGTATCATAAACATTAGTTGAACCGTAGTTAACTTCAATTATTGTTCCTGAGAATAATTCATTAAAAATCGCCAGTTTAACGGGACACTCGCTTCGATGCTTTCAACAGGGGATCGCGACCGATGTAATCTCGCTGAACACGAGTCCACCTTTCTACAAGAGTAGAGGACCCATTGTCAGATTTCCACTTGGACACGAGCTAGCATAAGAATCACTCGCGTTCGTAAGCTCGAGATTTGAGTTCACTCGAAATGAAATCACCGAAATCTAATCAGTATTAAAAAGTATTATCCTTGGACTCAATCCTTGAAATCAAATTAGCAATTTTTAAAACGAACGGAAACGGATGTCGCACGAGGAGCGAACTGTCACTCCGAAGTGACACGAGGGAACTGACGATCGAAGAGGAGCACGCGTGCTGAACCAAGTATGTACCCGCTCTTCGGGTTCGCGTGTAGGACCGGCAACGACTAACGATTCTGTAGTACGCGGGTCGGCTATTTTTACGTTTTAATCACGACGACTCTCGCGGCTTCTCCTCGAAACTCCCGCCATCGCGTTCGGCAGTCAATTAAAAAAAAAAGGAGGGAGAGAGAGAGAGAGAGAGAGAGAGAGAAAATTGGCCTCTCCTTTCACCGATCATTTCGATCTTGCGATCGTTGTTTCTGATCATCGTTACTGATCATACGTGCCGATCTAGCCGTGAATATACGTGCGTTTACTATTGTTACGCACTGACAATGGCGTAGGAGGAAAGATCGAAGGACACGACGAAAGAAATTTGTCACTTTGGTTTTTCTTTATTACGAGAAATTTTAAAATTTGACTCTATGTGAGACCCCTTCATTTTTTCAATTTCCTTTTTTTTCATCTTTTCAGCCATATATTTTTTCTTACATCCAAAATTTTAGCAAATTCGTTTTCTGAGATTTCTCTTGGTCGCTAAATTCGAATGTAATGTCAAAATTTTCAATTTCAAAAAATTCAAGATGGTATAAGAAAATTATAAATTTTTTTCTTTAAATTCAAATTCTATGATCAAGAAACTCTCAGAGAAAAAGTTTCAAAAAAATACAATTGTTAGTTTGGATTTAGAAAATATTGTATTTTTTATATAGAATTAATAATAAAAACAATATGGCGGAAAATTCTGAAAAAATTTTGAAAAATACTTTAGAGTGTACTTAATTCGTAAAAAAATTGCCCCTTTAATTCGGTAGATTAGTAGATTAGTAGAAAATGCATTTCTCCATGAAAAAGTATTAATTTTGACTATTTGTTTTTATATATGATATTTTTGCAATTAATAATTAATGACATTATTTTTTTTTTACATTTATTGATATTACTGACATTTATTTCTAGAAACTGTGTAAAAACAAAAAAACTCGGAATTTGTTGTAAAAAAAGTAGTTGAAAGGAAAATTGCAAAAGAAAAGGTGAATCACTGAGCGGTCCATCATGACGCAAAGAATTAATTCGCAGCATTTTAATTAATGATTAAAATTACTTTATATTAACACAATAATAAATAGATATTAAGAATGAGATAAAAGAAAAAGAGAGAGAGATGGGATTTTGTTTCCTAAGATAAGAAATATACAGAAAAATTACAAAGAGATATCTATGTATATTATCTCTATTAATAACGATATATTTTCGATAATGATATATTTTCTTCCCAGATAAATTATTAATAATAATATTTCTTATCTATCTATTAATTAATTATCTATCTATTCTTATTTATTAATAACGATATATTTTCGATAATGATATATTTTCTTCCCAGATAAATTATTAGTAATGATATTTCTTATCTATCTATTAATTAATTATCTATCTATTCTTATTTATTAATAACGATATATTTTCGATAATGATACATTTTCTTCCCAGATAAAAAGATATATGCATTTTTTCTTCAAGATTCTCGAATCCACCCCTTAAAATTAAAGTCCCCTTATTACGCCAGTGCTTACACGCTTTGTCTACTTTTGCGTTGGCGAATGTGCTTGGAGCGATTTATTATGCCTCGTACTCGATGCGTCCTACATACGAAACCGGCCTTTAACCAGGTACGGCCCTGACTACGGCTTCCTTGACTTTGGCACGTTGACGTTAATCGCCAAGAGAAAAAGGTGTCTCTCCGTCTCTCTCACGAGGTGTGAGGAGTGACTCTTTACGGCACGTGTTTCCGTGTGCGATTCTCTAAAGCTTATCATCCACCTATCACCGATTTACGATCCATTCATTCGATGCTTTATTCCCGAAGATTGCGTTTTTACATCGTCGAGAGAACGGTTTGCGCCTTCATTTTTCATCTCAAGCCAACAATCATCGAGTCCGTAAGTCTTACGAATAAAACTGTCTTCGATGACTTCGATTTATATTTAGATATCGCGGAAATCGCGAGTTGATTTTCTGGTCAAAGCTACTCGTAAATTTAACCGGTTTAGATGTAATAACTTGCCGCAAGATGTATTATCAAACACGTATGCATTCAAATGATAATCTGGCTATTGTGCATTCCGCTGACATAAATTGTTAAGAATATTATGAAATCGAAAGAAAAAATCATCGATGGCAGATCATCGCTTTTATTAGCTACGTGGATATTTTTAATTTTATATATTTAAGAAGCTATTCAATATGTATTTGTTTCCGTAAAATATGCACAAAGTTCAATTCAGGCGAGTCTTTTACGATATTGTACTTTATACATTACTTAATATTAAATTCAATAACTTTTTGCTATTATTCAGGTGTATATAATAATAAAATTTTAATATGTATGAAAGATTCTACATTAGCTAATGACTGATAGAGAAAAAGATTTTATATTAGATAATGACTGATAGAGAAAAAAATATTTTTTATTTGCGTCTAGAACTGAAGATTCAATCAAATTCGTTGGGGAAAATGCATTGATATCCGATCAGAGCAGAAAAATACTAAACATGACATAATATTAAACAATAATATATGTATTAATAATATATATAACATATATATAACATATATATAACATACATATATATATATATATATATATATATATATATATATATATAACATATCAAAACGAATCTTACATTCAATTATTTCAAAATATTTTGCTATTTAGATCGTATAATTAATCGTACAATGAATTCTTTTATTATTTCTTAATAATTTTAATGAACTTTTCAATCAAGATGCGCATAATTGATCGAGATCGTAATTCAATTTGCAATGAAAGGATATGATTTATGAAAAATTTCTTCGTCATATCAAATTGAAAGGACAAAATTTCATATCATCGAATCAGTAATTAATTGCGTAATGTTTATTTTTTTAAACTGTTACGAAAAGCGATAGTATTTAATAGAAAAATGAGAACATTGAATTAAATATGCTCATTTATTAAATAAAATGTGAATAATTAGTGAGAATCGCGAATCATTCTTCTCTTGATAACAAGTTTCCTTAATAAAAAACGCACACGTGTGATTATAAATCTTGCCTCGTTTTCACAAACATAGCTATAAATCGCTAGACCCGCATGTATATAAAGTTCGTTTCGCACAATGCATAATTAATTAATCAATTATCAGAAAAGATGACAATTTTTGAAATTTAATTTAATTTAATTTAAATTGTGTGTGTTGTTGTGTGTGTGAGGATCAATGTAAAGTATAATTTATAATTTTTTCATTAATGTTGCATTTAAAATCGTGAAGATTTGTGTGAAGGAATCTTCTTTTGAATCATGTGAAACGAGCTTAAAGCCTCCACATATGCGGGGTCGAGATTATTATGGGGACACTTGAATTATTTAAGTCGCGTATCGAATCCTCAAAAGTCTCTTCGCGCGTTTCTATTTTGCAATCATTATTCTACGTACTCTCTATGCAAAAGCCTCAAGTAGAACAGTGCCGGGACTCCCGTAACTCCTCGAATAATCATGCGAGATTTTACGATAATAAAACTTCGCATGCTTCGTACGAGACATGTTTATTTACAATAAACAAGTATTTCATATATATATATATATATATATATATATATATATATATTTTTTTTTTGCTTTACAAATTACTCTTATATTTGAAAACAAAATATGTTTCTCATAAGTTTATTATTTTTGTACATGTAAAAGTTTTATTTTATTTTAAATTAAAAATTGAAAATTAATTTAATTCTAAAAAAATTAATCATTCTTGAAATTAATTCTATTTTCACAGATTAATACAATTCTAAGAAACATATGTAAAAGAAGAAAAGTATATCTGTATAAATAAAATTTAATTTTAAAAGTGATTAATTTTCTTAGAATAAAATTTTAATTAAACTTTAAATTTAAAATAAAATTTAATTTTTTTTAAATGCACAGAAGAGATAATAAGATCGTGAGTTACTAGTTTCATTTCAAAATATAAGAGTGAATCTATAAAACAAAATTTAAAATAAAAGAAATACATAAAATTTTTTAATATATAAAAATATTTTAAATAATAATAAAAATAAATAATCATATGTAGAAACGACTCAACTAGCGACATACGAAACATACGAATCAGTAGTGTGAGGAATCTTGACTCTGATAAAATGTTTTCAGTTTCTCTCGTTTTTCTCTTTCAAATTTTAACTAATATTTTTTGACATGTGCTAATATCTTGCATTCTTTATCTACAATATCGACCATCTTTATTGAAATTTATACTTGAAAAGGACCACAACCAAATGGTCGAAATGTCATGTTTGAATAATAAAGAATTAATTTGTGCTAGTTGAGTCGTTTCTACATATGATTATTTATACCTTGAATTAATTTACTAGCGAGTTTGTTAACATTGAGAATTTAATAATAAAAATATTTTAATATATCAAATTTTCAAATAAATTTTATTTAATACATATAAAGAATAGAGGAAAGTTTAAATATATTTAAAAATTGTATGAAGTGGATATTTTGATTTGACCTCAAAAATAGATGATTGTTGAAAAATTGCAATAATAAAAAAAATTAATATTTCCAGATATTATCTTTCTCAAATTATCTCTCTCAAAAAGATCGCGAATAGAATTTCAACTATTGTATACCAAAATTGGTGGCGTCATCAAATAATAGTTTATATACTATGATAGGCTATACACATAAGATAAGACATAGATTAAGGCTGACAGAGACTGGCTGAAAAGAAACGGAAAATTGACAAATGGATAACATCAAGTGCATAAATAACGTACTGTATATTAATGCATGGGAAGATGTGAATGCCCTTTGCTAAATCATTACATCTTTCATTTTAAACGAGAGAGAGAGAGAGAGAGAGAGAGAGAGAGAGAGAGATATCCTAATTAATATAATTGTATTAAATAATAAATATAAAATTCAATTTTGATAAAA